TCCGTACCCAGAGCTTGTGGGTTGCCTCATGTAACTGATGACGTGCACACGACCTGACCTCGCGTACCCTCTCAGCCTCTTGGCTCGCTACGTGGCTCCCTGTAGGCACCGAAAGGTGCACTGGGATGCTGCGAAGAGGGTATTGCGTTACTTGTGCAGTACGTCGGGCATGGGGCTTGTGCTTGGAGGACGGGGTCCAGTTGTCCTCACTGGTCACGCAGACGCTTCTTGGGTTGACGACTTGGCTACGCAGCGGTCGTCACAGGGTTACACCTTCAGCCTCGGTTCCGGCTCTGTTTCCTGGCGGTCTTCCCGCTCGTCTTTGGTTTTCAGTTCCAGTTGTGAGGCTGAGATCTACGCAGGGGCCATGGCTGCATAGGAGTTACGCTGGCTCACCTACCTGCTGACTGACTTGGGAGAGCAGCCTCGTTCGCCTCCAGTCCTGTACGTAGACAACAAAGCCATGATTTCCTTGTGTCAAGAGCACAGACTGGAGCACATAACGAAGCACATCGCTCTGCGATACTTCCTTGCTCGAGAGTTGCAGGAGCGTTTTCAGCTTCGTCTTGCGTACGTGTCCACTAGGGCTTCTCTATTGTTTTAGGCCTTGTGCCTACTTTGCCTCACTTGCTCTCTGCTTGACTTTGCTTGTACTATGATCTACATATTTACCTGCATGCTTACACTTGCTAGGGTATGATCGCTGTTTTGTTTGTTCTGTTTTATTTAACTATGCATGTGAACTGGCCTTGTTGCCAATTTCTTGTGCTCAGAATTTGTGGTGACTTTGTGATCCACCATGAGCTTGCTTTGCTTTTCTTGACTGGTCTTGTGACCACTTGTTCTCCCCCACTTTGCCTATGGGGATGTGTCAGAATGTTATATTGCTTACTTTGTGTAGGCTATAGTGGGGTAGCCCATAAGGGGTACAACCCAATTAGGGTTAGTACTTGTATCCAACTTCTGTTCAATGCATTCATTCTCGTTCATTCTTTTGACAGGGGGGTAGTGTAAGGTAAAATCATTTTCCTTACTTCGCACCCCTGCGTAACGCGTACACAATTGTTCCCGCCAACAGCACCCAATAGTGAAACGTTACCCGCTCGCGACACCCACCTCGACCACTGTTGCCGCCACTGTACACCTCGCGACCCAACCTGGCGGTTCGGTTGGGAACCCACGCTCCGGTCCTCCTCCTCGACATTTCCCAACATCGGTGCTAGGCCCGTCGCGCACTACGTTCTCACATATGAGCGTTACTGCGCTAGGCTTTCGCTGTATTTTGTTTGCTCATTCCTTTGCCCATTGTACTCTTGCTTCGATAGTGCAATTCTCTCTCGCTCACTCAATTGCACTCGTAACACATCGTACTAAATTCCTTGATATTAACTTATGGATTATGATTTTGTTACAGCCAAAGTGCGCTTGACAGTATTTAGCAACGGATGAACAATTTCAACCTAAAAATCCGCTGAAGGTTTGAGTAAAAAATGACAAGAGAAGCGAGATACACCCTATTTGCGAGAATATCACACCCCCTAATTTCACACCCGACTCGGGATCACGAGCAAAGGCTTTGGGCTGCCGCGAAGCGTGAAGGATCATTTGGAGTGACGAATGGAGAAATTAACGCTTTGATTCTGTCAGCAACCCAAAATGGATGGGGGAACTTTGTGATCTCGTCGGGGCATATCCAAATTTGTGACTATAGCATGGTGCCAATTTGCGTAGCTCAAAATTTGGCTGTCGTTATGGGACCGAATTTGTTACAAATAGCGCGCTACGGTGTCAAGATTCGTTCTGATTGTGATTAGGGGTTCAAATTTTTGAGTTGGATTTCAGTTTCGAATTTGAGGTCTGGTTTATTATAAACGCAATCCTGATGTGACTGCTTCTCATTGGATGCAAATTTTTTTCAAGATTGTCAATACCTCCTATGTATTCTCAAGTTGGTTTTCCTTCCCTGCCAGCTCAGCTCGTCCGCGCCTTTACAGTGAAATTATCGGGGGACATTATTTGCCCCCCTAATTTCACACCCTCTCGGGCAAAAATCGTGGTTCGGGACTGGGGGGTGTGAAATTATCGCGAATAGGGTGTACAATTTTTTCCATTGTTTCGAAAAATTTGAGTCATCTCTCTCAACGGAATCGAGGGTGACGTTCCGTTTAGTATGGGGTAGTTGAGGCCAGAGCTTTCCATGCAAGCTACTAAAACTCTAATTAGTCTTCATAGTCTAGACTAAAGGCTGCGCACATACAAGAGGGGTGACGCTCGGGGGTGACCGCTTTTGGGAGCGTCACCCTGACCCTGGCAAAAAAAAAAAAACCAAAACCCTCTCGGAATGGCATGCCAACTTTGTCGGCATCAACCCTAAACACCATGCGGCAAGGTTTTTAGGGTTGATGCCGACAAAATCGGCATGCCATTCCATATGGGTTTTATTTCTTTGCCCCCGGGCAGTTTGTCGCTTTGTCGTCTCGCTGGGTCCGTTGAGATATACTAGGCTAAACCGTTATGGCCCCATTTTTTAACGTAGCAAACTCTTGTGAGATACCGCGAGTCAAAGTTGAGGCAGTACGTGGCCACCCCGAAAGGTGATGGGCCTCAAAAGGGCTTTCGCTGTACAGTACTGATACGAGTGGTCGTGTGTCTGTTTCAGCTTTCTGCCCAAATTCAGGCGAAATCCAGATGCCAAGAAACTCGTTAGGGCGTATCTTTGGTTCGGTCATAAGGCACTTCGGGGTCTCTTTGTACACTTCGGGTCATGGGATGAGCAATGGTATTCGAGTAGTGTATCTAAAATGTGCCTGATTGGTCTTCCAAAAATCTCGGATGACCCGAACAGTGCATGACCCGAACCAAAGATACACCCTCAGTACAATATGTGCAGAGCAGAATCGATTTTTTTACCATGTGCTAATCTGCGAGACGGGACTGACTGAATAAATGGCTCATGCTTTACATGCAATAAATAACAGGCCCACATGTCCTTCTTTCTGATAAGTTCGAGCCGCGCTGGCCAGCTAGCGCAGAATAGGCTATTACACGTATCAGCCAGCCCTTGATACGTGTTATTGTCAGCTTTCTGCCCAAATTCAGGGCGACATCCAGATGATAGCCGGGAAAAACGTTAGATTCAGTGAAAAGGATGGTGTCGGTGGAACATTTCGTAGTCTACGTGCAGAAACAAGTTTCTGACCATATGCTCATCTGCGAGAAGAGAACCGAATGAATGGCTTATGCTTTTATGTGCAATTATTAATACGGGCCCACGTGTCCCTCTGCCGACAAAGTTCGAGCCGCGTTGGCCTGCTGACAAAATTCGACCCCCTTGAAATAATCGGTGGTTAGGTGTATCAGGCTACCAGCCAGCCCTTGCCACCTTGTGGTAAGGTTTGTCATTGCGGGGTCCTCCTCGAGTCCCACTACCCTCAGGTTCTCTCAGCTTTGGGACCCATGAAGCTTCACGTACGTCGAGTTGATGTTACTTCTCAAACTCATTAGTGAGGGCTTAGCCTAGCGTCGTGCAGCGCATGTTGTCGGAGTGGTTCGCCGAACCACCGTGGTTCCAATTCTTCATCGTGACAAGATTCGGAGTGACGACCTCGGTGTCAGGATCTCATTTCTCGCAGAGCGGACACGAAGACGAGGCTCAAATTGCATTATCAGTCGTTCCGAGTCGCCTCGCTGGGCCCTTGTTCTGCACTGTTCTCTTTAGAGTGCGTTGACCGGAAATTTGTCTGTATTTCCTCAAGTTTACGTACTTTTGAAGTTGAGTGTCGCTAACTTTTGAAAGGTGGGCTGTATCTGCTGTGAAATTCTGAATTTAATCAAGTCTATTGTGAGACACGATGCGTCCCTTGCTTCGTCCAGCAGTCACCGAGGATTTACTTAATGTCAACACCGACCAAAATGGTTACCGCACCCGACTCGCAGCGCCAGCGACGAGGGCTTCGCACTTTCGCAGCCAATCAGAGTCCGCATTTTCCTTCGAACAGAACCATTCGGAAGGTCAGAACGCATCGGAATGGGAAAGCGGGAAATGCGGCGGGGTCGGCGGCGAGAATGACGACGAGGGCGACTCGGAGACGAGAGGAGGTACCATCCAGGCCAGAAGACTCGCTACCAGCGCGCATCGCGGCGTGTCGCCGTCTGTTGAGGCGCCTCGAAAGACGCATCGCGGCGTGTCGCCGACGGCTAAAGTCGTTCTCGATTATCACATTGATAGATTCGCCGCAAACTTCGCCGCAAACGTCGCCGCACACGTCGCCGCAAACGCCGTCGAAGGCCAGCAAGACCAGCTTCATCTTTTACCGAGTTCCCTTCAAACGGGCGCAAGGCTTTCGAAGCCGCAATCGCCGCTGCCACGTCATCGTCGGTACCGATCAGAGGATGCGTTCTCGTTTTACGAACCCGGTTCAGGGCCCTCTCCACGCGCGTCGGCGCGCGGCGCCAATGCCGACGGTTCTATGAAGCGGGGGCCGCGGCGCGTCGGCGAGATGACGATGGAGCGAGGAATGCAGCAGCTGAGCACCAACGGTGGACTCCGAGTCGCCGGACGAGACGGCGGAAGAGACGGCGGAAGAGACGGCGGACGAGACGGCGGACGAGCCGTGACGGAAATCTCGGCGGAAGACGCGGAGGTGGCGGCGGAAGCGGAGGCGGAAAGTACTGGCAACGGCGGGGAAACATCCGAGCATTGTTTTCGGAGGAAAAGCGGAAGCGCGATTCCGCGGAGTCGGGAACGACGGCAGGCGGAAGACGATGCGGGGAGAGACTCCACTGCCCCAGCCACCTCCCCCACTGGTACCGCCCCCGCCTCCCCCTCCGCCTCCGCCTCCGCCTCCGCCATTCCGCGTGTTCCGAGCCCCACGGGGCTTCCGCCGCGGTCGCTGTCCCCGTCAGAAGCAGGCCCGTACAGCTTGAAAAATTCCCCAACTGCCTCCCCGCCCAACCACCGCCGATCGCGGAGTAGCGGAGCCTTTCTTTTGGAAGGCGGAATGACGGGGGGACTTCCTCCCATTACTAGCCCGCGAACCAGCGGGTTTGGCGCGAGTTTTGCAGGCAGTGGCGGCGCGCAATTACCCCCGCTGAGCCCTAGGGCGGGCGGAAAGGGGGACGGCGGCACTTGCCCTCTTCCCAGCCCCATTGCGCGGAGCAAAACGACAGGCGGAAGCTTCGCGAGGGGTCCTGCGGCCGGGCCAGTTGCTGACGTGGCAAGCCTCCCTAAAAGCCGTACTACGCACGGGATGGGGGAAGGCGGAGGGGGAGGAGGGGGGGGAGGAGGAGGCGCGGGGGGAGGCGGACGTGGGGGCTTGGGGCGAGAAGGCAGGGCGGGTGGCGGAGGGGCAAACTCCCCGTTACTGAATCGGAAGAAGGGCGCGGCCGGAGGGGGTGGCGGGATCCCTAGAAGCGCGAGCAGCGGGAATCTGGCGCGAATGGGGCAGAGAGGTGGGAGTGGGGGGATGGGGGTCACCCCCTCCTTGGGTACTACAATGCTCGATGCTGGCTTGGCGGGAACAGAAATGCCTCGCAGCGCGAGCAGCGGGAATCTGGCGCGAATGGGGCAGAGAGGCGCGGGGATGGGGGGATTCACCCCCCCAACCATGGGTAGTCCGATGCTTGATGCTGGCATGTTGGGAGCGGGAATGCCTCGCAGTGCGAGCAGCGGGAATTTGGCGGGCATGGGGATGAGTGGCGCGGGAATGGGATTCACCCCCGCCATGGGCACAATGCTTGATTCCGCCAAGGGGGGTGGCGGAGTCCCTAGAAGCGCCAGCAGCGGGAATCTGGCGGGAAACATGGGCGGCAGCATGGGCAGCAGCATGGGCGGCATGGGTGGCAGCATGGGCGGCAGCATGGGTGGCATTAGATTTACTCCCACCATGGGCACGGTGCCTGGGAGTCCCAGGGTCCCTCGAAGCGCCAGCAGCGGGAATATGGCCGGCATGGGTGGGAGTGGTGGGGGCGGCATGAGCGGGAGTAGCACGGGATTAAGGCTCAGTGGAGTGGGATTGGGGTCAGGTGCTGCGGGTAAAGGCAGAGGGCACAGGAGGTCAAGCAGCGTTAGCAGCAGCAGTGCTGGTGGTGGTGATTTCGCCAGCAGCAGTGCCAGTAATTTGCAGCAACAGCAGCAACCGTACGGCCATGGCAGTCCCGGCAACAGTAGCAGCAGTGGCAGTATGATGGGGCGGGGACACAGGCGATCCGCCAGCACCAGCTACCAGCTTGACTTCAGCCCCACCACAAACCTTGCTGATAGCAGCAGCAGGCCCAATGGATTCCCCATGGGATTCCCAATGGGATTCCGGGCTCCAAGAATCGTGCTTCCCCACCACAACAGCCTCAGCCCTGCCTCGTCACCACCCAACACCAGCCCACGTGGCAGCATCACAATTGCTCCCAGAGACACGTCACTCAAGTCGCCCTACACCAGCCCGCCTTATGCCAGTCCACGTGGCACTTCGCCCTCCCCCAGTTACCTCCTCCCCCCCCATAAAACTTCTCCCTCTGCTGCTTATGCTGCTGCTGCTGCGCATGCTGCCGCTGCTGCGCATGCTGCCGCTGCTGCGCATGCCACGTTGCTTGGAGGGCGAGTGCTAGGACCAGCACAATTACTAGGAGGCTTCACAACAGCAGTAACAGGAGCAGCAGGAGCAACAGGAGCAACAGGAGCAGCAGGAACAGCAGGAACAGCAGGAGCAACTGGAGTAGCAGGAACAGCACCAGCCATTCCCGCGACCTTCTCTCGCTCCCCCAGTCACCGAAGCCCCAATGTGCTCAGCCCGAGCCTGCACAGCCCGAAGCTGAAAAGCCCGAGCCACTCCAGCCCCAGCGCCAGCCGGACCAGCAGCTCAAGTCCGGCAGGAATTGCATCGAGCAGTTTAATCGGCTTCTCCTCGCCGACTCACCTCCCTAGTCCAGCTTCCTCCGCATCTCTAAATGCAAGTAGTCCATATGCGAATTACCCGTATACCCCGGGAGGGGGGAGTGTGCTGCATAGTCCCCAATCCATGGCTGCTCTAGCAGAGAGGGACAAGCAAAAGCTGGCCGAGATTCAGAGCTTCTTTGCTTCGGGAGGGCTAGGTTCGGGAGGGCTAGGCTTGGGAAGGCGAGGTTCGGGGAAGTGGGGGGTGGGAGGAACCACCCTGAACCAGTCACCCAAACCTGGAATGTCCCCCAATACCTCCCCTCCTGTCACTTCACCTTCGCGAGGAGGAGCAGGAGCAGGTGGAGGAGGAGAGAGAGGAGGAGCAGGAGCACGTGGAGGAGGAGGGAGAGGAGGAGGAAGGGGAGGGAAGAAGGGAGTGCTGGGGCTGATTCTAGGGCCTATTCGCACGCCCAGTCCCAGTGAGTATTACCGGCTTGGTTCTCCTGGTGGCGGTGGGTGGATGGGACGGGTGTGGGGACAACGAGGGGAGGGAGAGAAGCAGGTGGAAGAGAAGGAGGAGGAAGGGGAAGGGAAGGAGAAGGAGAAGGAGAAGGAGGGGGAGGATTGGGGGAAGTACATGGGTGGTGAGGCGTATGAGGAGAGTGAGGATGGGGAGGGGGAAGAGGGAGAAGCAGGAGGAGCAGCAGCAGCAGCAGCAGAAAAGGCAGCCAGTGGGGAGGAAAGAAGAGAGAAGGCAGCAAGGGAGCAGGGAAATCTGACAAAAGAAGCTGTTGCAGCAGCAGGCGTAGCCGCAGCAGGTGCAAGCGCAGCACAAGGAAAAAGAGCTGTAACGGGGGCAGGCACAGGCGCAGCAGCAGCAACAGCAGCAGGCGAAGCTGCCAGAAAAGAGACTGCAGGAGCCACAGGAACCCACCCAAGAGCCCGGCCAGGTGATGTGAAAGCAATGGCGCAGGCAGCGGGAGCAGGAGGAAAGTCAGGCGCGAAGACCACGGTGCAGGCAGGAGCAGGAGGAGGAAAAAAGGCGAAGGCAAAAGCCATGGTTCAGGCAGCGGGAGCAGGAGGAAAGGCGGACGTGAAAGCAGTGGTGCAGGCAGGAGCAGGAGCAGGAGGAGGAAAGGTGGACGTGAGAGCACTAGTGCAAGGAGCTTTGGAGGAGTGGCGGAGGACGGAGGCAGCAGCAATGCACCAGCTGTCAGCCTCTGTGTTGGGGAGAGGGATGTCGGACGTGCGGAAGGTGTATCAGCTGGGGAAGGAGCTGGGGAGAGGGAACTTCGGGGTGATCAGGGAGGCTGTGGATTGGGTGTCTGGCGAGCGGTTTGCTTGCAAGAGTGTCAACAAGAAACGACTGGAGGTGAGGTCAGAGGGGGAGGGGAGGGGAGACGGCGAACAGGGAGTGGGAGGGGGAATATGGGAGTGTTGAAGGGATGCAGGCATGCAGGCATGCAACTCCTTTTGAAATGGAACCCCTCACTCGCCTCTTCTTCTCCTTCTCCTCCCCATCCCCTCCCACCTGCCAGTGCGTGGACGACATAGCGGATCTGCGGAGGGAGGTGGAGGTGATGAGATTGCTCAAGGGGCACAGTCTGTTGTGAAAGAAGCATCCCCACCCCTTCTCCCCCTCCCCCGTCCTTCCCCCTTGCACCCCCACCTGCCAGTGCGTGGACGACATAGCGGATCTGCGGAGGGAGGTGGAGGTGATGCGAGCGGTCAAGGGGCATCCCAACATTGTGTCGCTCGTGGATACCTATGAAGATGACACGGTGAGTTGACACTGGAGATGACACTGGAGATGACATGGTGAGTTGGCACTGGAGATGACATTGTGATTTGATTCTGGAGCTACCACTGTGGAGTGAACGAGTAACATTGCTACTCAATGTGTTAGCATCACCCTGTGCGCACATGGAAACTTCAGTGACCCTCAGCCATCTCAAACTCAAGATCGCACCCCTTGTTGACAAAGTGAGCACAAGCATTGAACCCTACCCACCTTCTTTTCCCCTTCCCTCTCCCCCTCTTTCCCCCCTTTCCACCCAACCCTTCCCCCCGTACCCTCTCCAGGACGTGCACATGGTGATGGAGCTTTGCGAGGGGGGGGAGCTGTGAACCCCACTTGAACACCTCTTCTCCTCTCCCCCATTTCCACCCTCCCCTTCCCCCACTACCCCCTCCAGGACGTGCACATGGTGATGGAGCTGTGCGAGGGCGGGGAGCTATTCGACCGCATTGTTGTGCGCAAGCACTACAGAGAGCGCCAGGCAGCGCAGGTGGGCTTTGTGAGCGAAAAGATGTTGAGTCTGAGTGAGCAGCTCTAGAGTCTGATTGAGCAGCTCTAGAGTCTGAGTGAGCAGCTCTAGAGTCTGAGTGAGCAGCTCTAGAGTCTGAGTGAGCAGCTCTAGAGTCTGAGTGAGCAGCTCTAGAGTCTGAGTGAGCAGCTCTAGAGTCTGAGTGAGCAGCTCTAGAGTCTGAGTGAGGAGCTCTAGAGTCTGAGTGAGGAGCTCTAGAGTCTGAGTGAGGAGCTCTAGAGTCTGAGTGAGGAGCTCTAGAGTCTGAGTGAGGAGCTCTTGAGTCTGAGTGAGCAGCTCTTGAGTCTGAGTGAGCAGCTCTTGAGGTGTTGCTTTCGAGAATTCTCAAAAGCAACACCAATATGAGTCGGAGTGAGCAGCTCTAAAGTCTGCTCTACAGGGCGCAGAAAGGGCAAATGGGTTTTCAGGAGGGATTGTCTCGAGTTCCCTCGTGCGAGACAGGTGGTCTTATTGATTCGACTCGCGTGAGTCCATGAATGTGGCCTGTCAGTATTGTACAGGTGGGATGCGGAGGCTGTGGCCTGTGGTTTGCATGACAAAGGTGGGCTTAATCCGCATTAGTGTTATATGGAGGCTCCGCATTGGAACTATATGGAGGCCCTGGTTTGATGGGGTCTAATGGGGCGAATGTTCTACGTGAGTTGACTCAAGTGATACCTCGGTACACAGCGTGTGATTCAAAGATTTGAAGTATCTAGAGACTCCTCAAGCGCCTTCTGAGACGCACAGGTGTGACACACTCTCCCCCTCGTGCTGTGCCACTGCCACTCCCTCCGCATCCTCCACCGCAACTTAATGCCTGAAACCTGCTCCTCGTGTGTGGTGCTGTGCTCTGCTCTGCTCTTCTGTGCGGTGCTGTGTGGTGATGCAGGTGTGCCGCACCCTGGCCGATGTGCTCCGCTACTGCCACTCCCAGCGCATCCTCCACCGCGACTTAAAGCCCGAGAACGTGCTCCTCGTCTCGACGCGCAGCGACACGCGTGTGAAGGTGATCGACTTCGGCATGGCGTACCGCTTTCAGGACGGCGAGCGCTGCACGCAGCGCGCCGGCACGCCCAACTACATCTCCCCGGAGGTCATCACAAAGAATTACGGCACCGAGGCGGACGTGTGGAGCTTAGGGGTGATTCTCTATGTCATGCTGTGCGGGCTGCCGCCGTTTTGGGGAGATTCGACGGAGGAGATTTTCTCGAGTATTCTGTACGAGCCGTTGGATCTCGAGACCGAGCCTTGGCCGGACGTATCTGCCGCGGCGAAGGATCTGGTTCGGCGGATGCTGTGCCGGAGGTTCGACGAGCGGATAACCGTCCCAGAGATCCTGAGTGAGTTGGCATTTTTGTCGTGTGGGCTGTTTGTGGGGCTGATAGCAAGGCTGATTGCAAGGTTGCTTGCATTGCTGCTCACTCCAACTATCAGCGGTATCTGTACAGTGCTGTGCTGTGGGGTGCTATACCATGCTGTGCCATATTGTGCTGTGCTGTGCTGTGCTGTGCTGTGAGATGTTGTAAGGTGCTATGAGATGCTGTAAGGTGCTGTGAGGTGCTCCCCTCTTTCCCCGTTCCCCTTCCCCCTTCCCCATCTCTCCCATTGTTTGATTTTTTGAAAATCCTTCTGTTTTTTACCTTTTTTTTTTTTAGGGACCCCTTCAGTCCTGTAACCTCATTTTCATGTATTGATTTGTTTTCAAACCACGGCTACCTCTCAAAAGCTTTTCCCCTCTAACCTCCTCCCGCCTCCCTATGCCTTCCCCATGTCCCCCACCTCGTCCCCCATGTCTTGACCTTGCAACTGTGCATTGTGGACAACTCAACAATGTGAATCAAATATTGCAACAGAGCATCCATGGATTAAAGCCCTCACCCTCACATAAGGTGCTTGGGCCAGGGCTGGAATTATTCTCTCAAGGCAATGATAGCCGAAACCAACAAATGCTCGGTTGCTGTCTTTGGAAGTACCATAAAGTTGGATTGTGAAAGCTTGCTATTTGTCTTGCAAGTGCAACGTCTCATTTCAACTGGCAAGTACAAGATTTTTATCGTCCAAGCAATTTACAGGATAACAACAATAAATTCCCTACTAAACTAGGGTGGGAGGGTGGGGAACTTGAAAACTGAAAAGTTTGAAATGAAAAACGTGGGTGAAGGCCAAATGGCCTTCGCCCCCTCTTTTATACCGAAAAAGAGGGGAAGTAGCGGTTCGCCGAAGCATTTTGCTTCGGCACAAATATCTTCGCTATTCACAATACACAATTTTAGAAAGTGTTACACACTTTCAAAAATTTACATATTGTGAAAGCTTGCTATTTGTCTTGCAAATGCAACGTCTCATTTCAACTGGGTTTTCTGAGACATGGTGAGTGCTTGTTGGCGGTGCCGAGTAAGTGCACGCTCGTGCTGCGAGGGGGATGGAACATGCGCCTGGTCGTGGAGGCGTCGCGACGCAGCAAGGAGGTGATCGTGTGAGATGGTGACATAAAGGTCCTTCGCGGTTTCGCTCCGCCATCGCCCCAGTCTTTTGAAAAGGCGGTCCGGGATGCCCGTGCTCGCTGCAACATTTGCTGCCCCTTTGCGGAATGAATGGGCGCCGAGGTGTGTAGGGTCGATGCCAGCTGCTTGGAACGCATGCAAGCACCACGTGCGGATAGTGGGGTATGATGGGGCGGTATCCTGCGAGGATGGCGGGGAGTTGCGTCGAAAAATACGAATCAACGGGCCTTTGGTGTTTGGCCCATACTGCGCCAGCTTGATGAAGTGCCTGGTGCACCGCACGGGGCAGAATGGTCCGTCAGTCGCGGCAACGGGGACCCATACGCCCTTGCTCTCCTGATCGGTTTTTGAGTGTGGAATTAGAAGCCACATTGCCGTAGCCTCGAATTGGATGTCCTCCCACTGGATTGACACCAGATCCGAGAAGCAAAGGAAGGCCGAGTACATGAGCAGCACGATGAGGCCCTTCTGGTAGGTGCCTGGTTCGCTTGACTGGAGAAAAGGTCCCGCCATTGCCTGGACTTGATGAAGGGAGACGGGCTCTTTCACTCGTGTTGGCCGAGGGCAGTGTCGTTTGGCGTACTCCCGGACTTGCGTTGTGAACGGGCCGTTCGCTGGGTTGGCTGACCCTGTCATGCGATGGGCAAAGCTGACTGCAGCGCATGTGAGCTGTACGCTGGAGACTGTGGCCTTGTGGTTGATTGCGTGCACTAAGTAGAGTGCTAGTGTGAGATCTGCAGCAGGCAAGAAATCCACTCTGGCCTTAATGCAAAAGCTGCGAAACTTCTCCCAGTATGGTTCGTATGTGTTGATTGTTGATTCCGATCGTGTCTTGGCTGTCATAAGAAGTAGCTGGTGGTGCAACCTTGGAAGCATATCTGTAATCATAGAATACAAGAATGGTACATCAAGATTTGTAATTGACTTTCAGTGCTAGGATTCGACTGACTGGAAGCCCAGCACCCGAAAATGCATGTTCATGGGAGCCCACATGCAAGCATTGACTACCACTAGCAAGATAGAGGATGGAGGAAATGCCGATTGCCCAGGTGTGTGGGGAGGGTCTGATTAGGGGCCACCAAGCAGCGCCTGTCCATTCGGGAATGACCAGCGTCATTGTGGCGTTCGTGCGTGCGGCATGGTGCAGGGTCGCGGGGATGAAGCTCGGTGGCGGAAATGCGAAGCCGTGCTCTAATGCCCAATCGAGCGAAAATGCATTTATGGCAGTTGCGCGTGGGTGCGGATGTTTAGCGCAGAAGCGCGAGAGCTGTGCGTTGTTGGCGTTCGTGAATAGGTCGATGGTGTGTGATCCCCAACGCCTGTCCAATAATCGAAACCAGGGGAGCTTGAGCGAGTAATCATCGTGGTCTTCCAACTTGGACAGTGCATCTGCATGCGCATTGAGGGCCCGTGGAATCCATTCGATGGCCAGCCGGGTTTCGTGCGCCATGCAAATTGCGACGATGGCCTTGCACAGGAGAGTGAGCTCAGGCTGGCGAGAGCCACCTTTGCGAAGAATGAAGAAGACGCCTTGGTTGTCCACTCGAATGAGTACGTGGCGGCCTTGGATCTGGTCCGTGAATGTCTGCAGCGCCCATAACACTCCCTCGAGCTCTCGGCGTGTGCTCGATGTGGAGAGAAGTTCTTTTGGCATGGGGCTGCTTCCTTGCGAGCTTCCGCCGGGGAAGGATGAAAGGGTTGCACCCCAACTGTGCGCGCTAGCGTCGACGTGAATGACCGTATCCAGACTGTGGGGCATGTGAAACGGGGCCCCGTTAAAACGGTCAAAATGGTCAAGCCAAAATTGTAGCTCGTCGCGAACCTCCGAGGTCAGCGTCACCCGTGCATTCCATGATGGCGCCTCATTAATGAGTGTCAAAAGTTGATGGCTGAAAGAGCGCGCCGTCGCGCCAAGGGCGAGCGCCATGGATGCAAGAATGCCAGTGACTCGGGCGACGAGGCGGATTGAAACCCGCTGGTTGCGCTCGTAAGCGAGAAGCAGCACACGTAGTGCTTGTGTAAGTTGCGCCTTTCTCTCCTGGCCGATAGTGAATCTCCCGGATGCGGTGTCCAGCTCCATTCCGAGGAAGTGCAATCTTTGAGTCGCGGCCAGGTGTGACTTTTTTGCGTTGATGACGAGCCCTGACTCCTTGAGGTCTCGAATGACTGCACCACTTTTCAAACGAGCGTCCTGTTCCGAGTCGCAAAGGAACAATATATCGTCCACATAGGGTATGACCCGAATACCTTGCGCTCGCCATTTCCGTGCCAACTGCTTGATGAACTGGGTGAACAGGAAGGGCGCTGTAGCGAGGCCGAACGGTAACGACTTGAAAAAATAGTCGGTGCCTTCGAAGTGAAAGCCTAGGAATGACCAGCAAGATGAATGAATATCGATTTGATGATAGCCAGACTTTAAGTCAACCGAGAACATCCAGTCGCCCGGCTTTGCCAGTTCAGCGACGCGAAGAAGACCTTCATACTTGAATTTGGGGACAATGAGGTATTGATTGACCTTTCGCAAGTCGAGAATGAGGCGGCACTTGTTGCGTTGTTCCGCAACATTGAGTGGGCTGATGCATGTAACGGCCGATGAGCTAGATGCAACTGCTGCTGCTTCCGACGTGAGCAATTCCGGAATTGCCGATCGGGTGAAATCGGTGTGCTTCAAGACTCCGGCGTGATTTTGATCGCGAAACGGCGGCGGTGAGAATGCCTTCCAAGGAAGCCAATATCCATTAGCAATGACCGACAGGATCAAGGAACTCTCGCACCACGAAGCCCACCAAGCGAAAGCCTGTCGGAGGCGACCACCCATGATGGTGACGTCGCGATCGGTAACTGCAGTTGCCAACATCTCGTCCTGCTCCCCTGACCATGAAGGCGTGGCGGCTGCCATGGGGTGTTTTGTTTGGGGATAGCAGGGGTACGGGGTCGAACCATTGAGAAGAAACGAGGAATGAGGATGACTAAGGGAAAGTTTGGTACAAATACAAACCCTAGAAAACTGTACCCCATATGTGCTACCCCACTATAGCCTACAGTAGCTCTGTCATATAAATCTGACACACCCCCATAGGCAAAGTGGGGGAGAACAAGGGGTCACAAGACCAGTCAAGCAAAGCAAAGCAAGCTCAGGGTGGATCACAAAGTCACCACACATTCCGAGCACAAGTTCAAGGCCACAAGGCCAGTTCACATGCAGGATTACATATATATATAAGGCTAGACAAGCAAGAGCAGGTGTATATATATATGCAACAGTACAAACAAGATCAAGGGGTAAGCAAGTGAGGCAAGGTAGGCACAAGGCCCAGCTGAGTACAGAAACGCTGATGATCACAAGGCGCAAGTGCCTTGGTGAAGATATCAGCAGTGTTGGCCTGAGAGGCCACGTACGCAAGCCGCAGCTGACCACGCTGCTGTAGCTCACGAGCAAAGAAGTAGCGGAGAGCAATGTGCTTCGTTCTGTGCTCCAGTCTCTGCTCTCGACACAAGGCCAGCATGGCCTTGTTGTCTACGTACAGCACTGGAGGAGAACGAGGCGGCTCTCCGAGGTCAGTCAGCAGGTAGGTGAGCCAGCGAAGCTCCTGTGCAGCCATGGCCCCGGCGTAGATCTCAGCCTCACAACTGGAGCCGAGAACAGAAGACGAGCGGGTAGCCCGCCACGAAACAGAGCCGGAACCAAGGCTGAAGGTGTAACCCTGTGACGACCGCTGCGTAGCCTGGTCGTCAGCCCAAGAAGCGTCTGCGTGCCCAGTGAGGACCACTGGACTCTGCCCTCCAAGCACAAGCCCCATGCCCGACGTACTGCACAAGTAGCGCAACACCCTCTTTGCTGCAGCCATGTGCTCCGGTCTGTGTCTCCCAGGAGCAACATAGCGTGCGAGAATGCTAAGAGGGTATGCAAGGTCAGGTCGTGTGCAGGTCATCAGGTACATGAGGCAGCCAACAAGCTCTGGGTACGGGCCACTCGACTCTACGGATTCATCCGAAGGCAGAGCTGAGAGCGAGTGGCGAGTAGGCAGAGGA